GCAGCGGGCGGGTCAGGAGAGGTCTGCCACGCCATATGGTCACCTCCGGGGCAGGCGGGAGTCGAACTCATAAGGAAGCGGCTTTAGATTCTCAGTGCTGTGCTTTAACCCGCTGCGCCACCAGGGAGGGCCCATTTTCAGTTTTTTAAGGTGAATTCAAATCAGTTTCCAAAATGATTTTCTTTTATTTTAAATATAAAGAAAAAACCTCAAAATTTATATTTGTTCTTTGAGGGGAGGAAAATGCAGACAGAGTAGATATCCAAAAGTAGAAAATCTGTTACCCCTAGGTTTTCTCCTATTTTCTAGGGCTAAGAGTTTGCTGCTTCTCTTTCCAAATCTTTTGTGTGTGTGTGTACATAAACACCTTTTTACATGTTTGATGATGTATGTATATATTTATGTATAAACACAAAAAAATACAAATTATACTTTGCAAATTTTTCACTCATTCTAATATGTCATAGATATTGCTCAACGACAGTATGTGAGGAACTATGCATTCTTTTAAATGGTTCAGTGTCTTAGATTCTAATTAGTCAGACACTTATTTTCATTATTACAAAAGGATTTAGTGAAGTATGTGTATTTGTGTTTGTGTATGAATGTTTGCATACACATTGTATTTCTTTAGGATGGACTCCTAGAAATGAAATAGTTGGATTGAAAGGTATGTTCTCTAAATGTATATAGCAGTATAGAAGAGTGCTTTCATCCCAGCATTTTTTTTTAAAGATTTATTTATTTATGCATATTGAACTGGAGTATAGGCCAGAATGTAGTGGCAGTGAGAGGATTCACTCAGAGACAGAGTGGGGAGCAGAACAGGCAGACTGACACTAAAGTACACTGCTGAGGGGAGCAATGGGTGAGACAGGAGAGGTCTGCTGTGTCCTGTGGGTCACCTCCCAGGTGGGGATCAAACTCTTACAGAAGTGACTGCAGCTAGCTTTGCAGTGTTAATGTTTTAATCTGCTGTAACACACAGGGGGGCCCTCTGTCCCAGCATTTTTAACAGATTTGATGCTTCACAAATGCAGCAGAACCAGCTATTAATTTAGTTTCCATTCTTTTTTTTTTTTTTAAGATTTTATTTATTTTTGCAGAGAACTGGGGTGTCGACCAGAAGTGTGGGTGATAAGAGGATTCACCTGTACCATATGTGGGGATCAAACTTAAGTCGTTGAGGTGATAGCGCTGAGATGTAATCCATAGGCCACCAGGGAGGCCCTCCATTATTTTATTAGTGAGGTCTCTCCTTTTTATTTAATTTCCTTGTGTTAATTTTACTCTGTGATTTATATATTCTTATTGCTTCCTCACCTTTCTTTTACTTTCTTTGTGGTTTTTTTTTTAGGAATTTTAGGAAGCTGTTCAATTTTATTTGTTTTAACTTCTTTCCTTTTTCAGATAAAATTGGTTGTGACTCTTCCTAATATAACTCTATAGCCACTACTACTCTAAAATTGAAATTGTGTTAAAACTCAAGAATGTCTGCACTTGTGAAGTGCTTCTAGCAACAATAATAAACACAGTACAGGATTCTTTACAAATTCATACTATTTCTCAAAAGCAACCACGTAGTAGTTTCTTTTCTTCTTTAAAGAATTAGTCTTCTACTAGAAAACTTATGGTCTTTTTTAGGTATAAAGTACAGTATTTGTAAAATTGCACATACATTGCCATTTACTATAACAAAACAGATGTCATATAATTAACATATATGAAGACATATGTTAATTTATTGTTTTTTTCTTTTCCCTAGTATTCCCAGAGAAACTTCACCTTATTTGGCTAATCTCCTTTTGGGTTTGCTTCAGAGAAACCAAAAAGATAGAATGGACTTTGGTAAGTAATATTTTCAAATTTTGTATGCTTCTTAATTTTGTGTGTGTATATATTGTGAAAATAATATAGAGGTTTCTGGGGAAAGTTAATGTCACTTTTATTTCTTTCTGTAGCTTGTATTTTTTTCTTTCATTTGTGTTGTATATATTTGTGCCTATTATGCTTTAGGTACCTAGTAGACATGAATAAAATTCCTGTTGTCATTAAACATGTATTGTAGTGAGGGAGAGACACAAATAAATGGTAAACTGTAATTATATACTTTACTAGAAGGTGGTAAGTACTGTGGGAGAAAAGAATAAAGAAAAATGAAGGTGGGGATTGAAATTTTAAATAGTCAATAAAAACCTTTCTGAGAAAGTAAACTTTGAGCAAAGACTTGATCAACATATTTGAGATAGTAAGCATGTGGATATTTGTGAGAATAGTGAATATAAGTGCTCAGAACTAGGAACATGCACTTAAGTTGGAGGAAAGCTCAGGATTTTACTCAAAGTGTCATGTAGACCCATTAGGAGGGTTTGTGAGTAGAGGAGTAGTATAATCAAACAAATGTTTGTTTGTTTTTTTAAAGATTTATTTATTTATTCATACAGAACTGGGGTACAGGCCAGAGGCTCAGGGGCGGTGAGAGGCTTCACCAGAAACAGAGTGGGGAACAGAACAGGCAGATCTTCGAAGTATACTGCTGAGGGGAGCAGCGGGCGGGTCAGGAGAGGTCTGCCGCGCCATGTGGTCACCTCCAGGGCAGGCTGGGATCGAATTCATGCAGAAGTGGCTTTAGATTCTCAGTGCTGTTCTTTAAACCACTGCGCCACCGGGGAGGGCCATAACAAATGTTTTTAAAAGAATAAATCTATTGCTTAATGAGATAAGACTGGTAGAAGGGGTAGAAAAAGGGAAGGGAAGCAGGAAGAAGGTGGGAGACTAATAAGGGACTGTAGTAATTACAGAGTGATGGATGAGGTAGCTTCGTCTAGAGTATTAGCAGTAGAGGTGGTGAGCAGTCATTGAGCTTTAGATCTTTTTGGAGGAAAGGGCAACAGTATTTATGAATGAATTGGAAGTGGGCTGTAAGAGAAAGATAAGACAGAGATGTTCCCTAGGTTTTTGGCTTGGACACTAAAAGATTAGTGGTATTGGCTACGGAGATGGGAAAGACCATGTGGGAAGCAGATCCTGGGGGCAAAATCAGGAGTTTCGGTTGGACGTGTTTAAGATACTAGACATCTGAGTTGGGGACTTGGATTTCAGGTTCAAAGACAGGACTAAGCTGGAGATATATATGGGAAAAGATGTAGGCAGAAGGGCAGGTGAAACCCAGAATCCTAGCAGTAAAGACTGTAACTTTGAAGATGAGATTTGGGGAGGAGCTGCTTCCTGTGTGGTAACCCTTGTAAAAACTTGCTTTATGGCAACTTTGTTCTCATCACTGTTTTAGAAGAACAGGGTGCTCATAGAGGCCATGATCTCTTGCCTTTAGCTTTTTAAATTCTAAGGTAGAGGATTATGTCATTGATTAAGCCTTTCTTCTATTATAAATATTTAAAATTAAAAATTTCTCTTGGAGTACTTTAGCATTACAATAAGTAGTATTTTTACCTTTTCCTATGTAAAGAAGGAACTTGAAATACTTCAAATTGTAGAGTAGGAAGGTTTTGAAAGTACATTAGTCTCTAAAATTGTTGGGTTTCAACTCTTTAGGGGATAGTTTGTCCACTTGTTATTAGCTAGGTTTTGAAACAGATTATTCTTACAAATTTTATGTAAAACAGTAAGACTTGAAAATGTCCGATCAGATGTGTTTAGATAAAATGCTTATGAAATTTACTATGATCTTAAAATTAGGGGAAAAAATGGTTTGATTTCCCTGTAGTAATAGTTGCTATAATAATGGAAGCTTAGAGCAATATGTTCCAAAATTTTTGTCTACTAATCCATATAGATTGTCTGGAACTCCACATAGGTTCCTAGATAAAACAGACTAGGATTTGAATTCTAATCCCTCAATAGTAATTATTAAGTCTTTGTTATGGGGGGAGGATCCATGATCTTCATGTGCTTCAATTTCTGTATTTATAAAAGAAAGATAATTCCTTGGATAAAGCTTGTGAGGATTAAGTGAGGAACTGGTATGGGAAGCACTCAATGCATTGTTTCTTAGTAGATGATAGCTTTAATAGTTCTTTATAAGCAGAAAGATGAAACAATCTGAATATGTCTTTTTAATTTATGGGTTGATAAACATTTTTATTTTTGAGACAGAAATTAAACTGGAAGTTTCTCAGTAATCATGAGAAATATGAATTAATAGTGAGACAACATACTCTTGGATAAGTTATATTGAATATCTATTCTCCATTCCATAGCAATTAATTTGAAAGGTGATTTCAGAGTATTTGCATTCAATCTAATTTGTTTATTTGTATCTTTCCTAATTCATTTCTATACTTTACTTTGTAGAAAGTAGCATAAAAAAATCTTATATCAAACTAGAATTTATATAGACAAGTATTTGTATATATGTCCATTTTCTTTGTGCTGTGCTTTAACCCACTGCACCACTAGGGAGGGCCCTATATGTCCATTTTCTTAAAAAGATTTAAAGTGAAGGACTCATACTTAAAATTTAACCCTCCAAATTTCTATCCTTAGCATCTCTTGTGATGAGTATTTATTCTGTGGGACTGTGGGAACTTGAGAACTTTTGGAGGGTATTTATTTCAGTGAAATTTATGGGACCCTTCAGAGTGGCAGATGATTAAAGCTGAGTTAAACTTGTTTCTGATCTTTCTTTTAATAAATCTACATGTAGGTTGTTTATTTTGTGATGTTCATACATGTCTAAGACAATGATAAATTAGAGTGTCTTAGTAGGTTTTTAAAGAATTAATAAAATACTTTAAATATCCAAGAAAATAAAGAAGTGAACTGATATATAATCATCTACTCAATTATCTTTGTCTAATTATCTGGCTTAGTAGATAGGTTTTATGTTTGGTGGATTGCTGAAAGAATTGAATCTGCTTTTTTTTTTTTAAATGTGAAATCAACCACAAGAAAACTTCTTTGGGAATGGAAGAATAGAATTTATTGTATAATCAGCTGCTTGGATATCCTGCTAGGACAGTAACAACAGTGATAGTTCATATATGTGTTTAACAAGGAGTGCTTTATGTAATTATCTGCTTGAGGAAGTTACATAGGTTGTGTGTGCTGATGACGGATATTTTGAATATTCACAACTTTCACTTTGCATTTTTCATTGATGAAGAATTACTTATAATTTGGTCATTTTATAGATGGTTTATAAAAATAATATGCTTTTACATTTGAAGGAAATGAAGGTCCTATGAAGAAGTTAATAATTATGTTTACAAAGATATTATGTTGACTATATTAACAAAATTAACCCAGCCCCTCGTCAACATGGCTTAAAGGCTACACTCTCATTTTTCATTACAGAAGCGTTTTTTAGCCATCCTTTTCTTGAGCAAGTTCCAGTTAAAAAATGTAAGTACTTTTTTTTTTTTGGCATTTTTACTTAAAGGTGAATGTAAACTTATGGACAATTGCTATTTTTGTATTGCACTTTTCTTCAATAACTATACTTGTATTTATTTAATAACAATTTGTTTTTCCTTTCAAATTCAAGTTTAAGTAGTTTTAGCAACTGCTGCATTTTTAGTTTCATTGATGGGACCTATAATAAGTAATATTAAGTAGGTCAGTGCACATTTTGATCAGCACAAAGATGTAGTTTTCATAGATTTTTGTATTGGCATGTCAGTTGCACCACTAGTGGTATATCTCTTAACCTGTGTCTTCCTCAGCCTGTCCAGTTCCAGTACCTGTGTATGCTGGCTCTGTCTCTGGAAGCTCTTGTGGCAGCTCTCCATCTTGTCGTTTTGCCTCTCCACCAGTAAGTTCTGGTTTAATTAAAAATAATTTGAGTTATGGGGAATGGGATAAAAAAACGGGGGGGGGGAAGGGAGGGAAATGCACGGGACTATGGTGGTGGCACAGGGGTGATTTGGTGATGGGAAACCCGTGGGGATTACAATTGA